CTATAATTCACAACGAACGATTCACGCGCTTGACTCAATTGTCCATCTCTCTCTCTGTCTGCAATTCTATTCCACTGTTGCCGTCACTTCTTGGCGGTATTATATACAAGAATACCGCACATCTAGTAAACACTCGAGGCTTCACGAACGGACATGAATTTTCTAGAAACTCATGACGTGTTACTAGCGTCACATGACTTCCGCTGTCGTAACAATATTATGTCACTTAATAAACAGAAGTATTCTGGTGCTAAGACGATGTGTCACTTAAAAAACAAAAGGATTTTGGCTCTAACATGTTATGTCGCTTAACATATAGAAGTAACCTTGTTTTAAGATGATGTGTCACTAAACAAACAGAAGTAATTTGATTCTAAGATATTATGTCACTTTGTCGGAATTTAAAAATATACTTTTTTGTCACCAATTGTCAAAATAAAAGGTTTTATCTTATACTTCTTAATAGTATAAATATATATATATATACAAATATAAAAATATTTGTCATATCAATGGCATCTTCTGACATAATGCCCTCATATATTTGTGGCCCGGCATGGCCAGGTGGTTAGGGCACTCGACTCGCAATCCAAGGGTCGTGGGTTCGAATCCCCGTCACACCAAACATGCTCGCCCTTTCAGCCGTGGGGGCGTTATAATGTAAAGGCCAATCCCACTATTCGTTGATAAAAGAGTAGCCCAAGAGTTGGCGGTGGGTGGTGATGACTAGCTGCCTTCCCTCTAGTCTTACACTGCTAAATTAGGGACGGCTAGCGCAGATATCCCTCGTGTAGCTTTGCGCGAAATTCAAAAACAAACAAACAAACATATATCTATAGGTCTTTTCCTGTGAGAAGTGGGCGGAGACAGACTGCCTATACACCTTTTTCCGAGTTCTGACTTTGGGCAAATATTTCATATCTCTCCAGGAAAGCATCCGTGTCATCTTTATGTTCATCAAATTTGGGCAGCTTGGGTCGTCTGGCCCTGACTCCATTGTCATTCTTGGGTCCTTCTTCCTTCAGTTGGATGAGTTTTGCAATCTCAATTTGTGCTCTTATTTTAATCTCTTTTCTTCTTTCTCTATTTGTATTTTCATTTTCTCTATTTCGAGCTTCTAATTTCTCTCATTTTCTTCTTTCAGTCTTTCTTCCTCTAGATCTGGTTGTTGTTTAACATATTTTCCTAGTTCACTATCTTTTAACCCATGATGAGATCCTCTTTCTACATATTTATCAAAATCACCTGACATGGTTGTATAGCGTGATCTTTACACTATTTTCGGTACTACTACAGTTATGCATATACAGGCCTACTTATTTCCTCTGTCGTTCACGTTTTCTTTTATCGCCTTTTACCAATATATAATCCTGGCTGTGGGTCGCCAATTGTCAGAATTTGAAAATAAATTTCTTATTTTTCACCAATTGTCAAAATAAAGGCTTTTATTTATACTTCTTTATAGTATAAATATAGGGTTCTTCTACAATAGGTGTCTGTATCTTGTTGGTGATAAATTCATCCATAAATGAATAGCACGTACTTCACTTGTTTTCAAAATTTATTCCGAACAAGCTAAACGTACGTACAACAAATTCTTCACAATGTAGAGATTATAGGCATATCATAAACACTATATATATAGT